AAATGAAGTGAGTCTTGAGGTCGATGATCATCCTGGATATCTGTGTAAGCTCAGTGTCATCCCAAGGGTCCTTACGCAAGGGAGGCAGGGGTAGATGGCGGAGCACAGAAAAGGAGGAGGCCACATGACATACAAGCAGAGGGGGGAAGGATGAGCCTTGAAGGTGGAGCACGGGCGCTGAGCCAAGGTGGATACCAGAAGCTGGAAAAGACAAGGCACAGGTCCATGCAGAGTGTCCAGAAGGAACCAGCCCTGTGACACCCTGACTTCAGCCCAGTAACACTGACATTGGCCTTGTGCCCTCCAGAATGTGGGAGAACACTTCTGTGTTCTCCTAAGGCTCCAACTTTGTGGCAACTTGTTACAGCAGAGCCAGATGACTGACACACTGTATAAAGCCCCAACAGCCTGCTAACAGCTGTGTGGGTTCCTATGTCTGTAACCGATCTTCCTCCTCCCTGCCAGAGCGAAGCTCCTCAAATGCCTCAGACATATTTGATCGTTTCAATCCCCAGCTTGATTCAATGGCTCCAACTGTATGTATCAGTCAGCGGCCAGTGCATAACAACCATCCCCAAACTCTCTAGTTAGGGTTAGGGTATCTATACCACGGCAGGAAGTTGGCCGATCCGGGCTGGGTCTTCTCCCTAAACTTGGTCACAGGGACTTGGCGCTCTTTCTGGGAGCCTGTCTGTGCACCTACATTCTTTCAGGGGTTTTCACAAAGGGGATTAAACCTGCCTTGGGTCTCACCCCCACCAAAAGCGGTATCGTAATGCACACACTTCTGACTGGGTGAAAACCCAATTCCTTTTTCAACCCTGCAGTTTTGGGGGCTGTCCGTATCCTCTCTAAAATTCTGATTGCAAGCTGGCCCATTCTTCTCTAAACTTCTACCGTTGGTGGTGTTATTGATCAAATGCAGAGAGAAACAACCAGCCTGCAGCTGTGTTTTCCCACCCTTTCCCAATGCCACAGGGGGACCAGGCACAGCCCCACCTTCCAGGTTGTTGCAAGCCACATTGTAGCAACTGTTTTGCCACAAGGTAACGTGGATCTCTATTTGTCCAGCCTCCTGATTCCATTTTTTGTGCAGGAGAAAGTCCACACGTGTTTGCCTGGCACAGAAGCCCCTCAGGAGGCCTTTGTAGCTCCTTTTCTTGTGTGTTCTTTGGTACGTTCTGCTTTCCAGTATAAATTGTCCTGAATGGGTCCACTTACTGAGCGCCCCCTCTGTGAGCCTGATGTTCCCTCCCTCAGCCAGTTCTCTCTGCATATTTTCCTTTCTCTCCTCACACTTCCACGTTGTGATGCATAATTGTGCATTGAATTATCTAATTCTATAAATCCCCACTCCCACCCCATTTGACTAGGACATCTTTGAGATTGTGAACCGTCTTTTATTTATCTCTGTCCTCAGGCTTGTAGCACACACTCAGAGGACCCAATAGGCGGCAGCTTAATTATGCCACATTCCAGCATAATAAATACATCATAAATAAATTAAGAAAGGACTGACGGATCCAGGCGAGCTGATAGCAAGAAGTGAAAGCTTCCCAAGCATCCCAGCGGGAGCTGGACAGAAACACATCATTCAGCGGCCGACTCTCATCTGCAGGACCGTGGAGACACAGCGTCGCTGTCTGTGAGGTCCCCCACCACCACCACGTCACTGCTTAAAACTGGGATCTTGAATCAGGAAAATACGTGGACATCTGAAAAAAAAAATGCACACGTGCATAACCTCTGTAAAACTCTTTCCTTCGGAGAAAAGGGCAAATCTAAACAACATCCTTTTTTTTTTAAGCATTTACGATTTTTCTGTTCTCTTTAGTTTGGTTAGGGCTGCTATCCATTCGTTTCCTTTTGTTGGTTTGATCAACACTTCTATTCTTCTTTGAAAGCTTATTAAGATGGATGCTAACAAAATAAATTATTATTTTTCTTAATTACCAGGTCCGTATGGCATTTTACCTAAAACACCACTGCTTAGATTGGAAAGTTTTAATGGATGTTTTCTATGCTTTTTGTCCTGGCAACAGTAACAGCATAGCACCCAGGGAATGACCATGACACCGTCTTTGCTGAAAAAAAGTCTTCCAAGGCCATTTCATCTGTGGTTCCGTCGCTGGAAAGCTGTCAGGGAAAATCAGTCTGATTTTAACCAAGGGCAGGCAGTGACGCTGGGTCGTGGGCTGAGTCCTGGAGGGAAGGAGGAGCAGGGGTGACCGCTTCACAAGAAGGAACCGATCCGGCGACAATAATGCGACATGAAACATCCCAGTCGTGGAATGTGCCCTTTGGCCCACCAGCCCAGTCCACTCACCCACCCCACTGCTACGGAGTGTTCGAGGAGCACAGAAAAAGACCCAATTCTTCCACTTCAAAATTGTACGAAAGGACATGCCGTGGGGCAGCAAACAAAACCAAATGTTGGAAAGGAAGTCAGTCAGCAGCAAAGTGAAGCACATAAAACAGGAAGAGGAGAGACAGAGAGGCAGAATTCATAAATAGTATCTAGACCTGACACAAGGAACGTCATCAAGCTCCTGGTTAGCTTCTTTGAAGGAGATCACTTGAAACCAAACACAGGCACATTTATGGCTCTTCTGGGGTTCGTTTTTTTTGTTAAGATTTACTTATTTATTTTAGAGAGAGAGGGCACGAGTGGGAGGAACAGAGAGAGAGGGAGAGAGAATCTCAAGCAGACTCCCCGCTGAGCACCAGTCCAACTCAGAATTCGATCTCATGACCCTGAGATCATGACCTGAGCCAAAATCAAGAGTTGGCCACTCAACCAAATGAGCCACCCAGGCGCCCAGAAGTTCGTTCTAATGATAGAAACAGAGATTTTTTGAAAAGAAGAAAAAGCAACTCGTTTTGGATGAATGTACTTGGCAGATACAAACTTGATCACTCTGATTTCCAGTGAGTGTACTTGCAGCTTAGGATCTGCCTGGACCCGTGAGATCAGACCTCACAGGCACTTGTCTTTGGGGCCTCTTCCTTCCCCAAGTAGGGGGGTGCCATCAACCACCTGGGGCTCCGCAGAAAGACACGTTGTTTTGTTGTTCAGTGATGGGTTTGCCTTTCCGAGCAGCCAGCACCTGATGGAGCTGAAGCTGGGGGTGTGTGGACCAGCTCTGAGGGGCCGGGTGGACTGCAGCCAACAGAGGGAAGTGGGCTCGGGTGAGCAGAGGAAGGGGCCACCCTCCCCTCCAACCATCCCAGTGCCTATCTCTGCAAGGTCCCCAGGATAACACAGTAGGGAAGCCGACTCCGCTGTTCCTCGGTCCCCCCCTCCCACACAGAATCCTCGGGAATATTCCTGTCCACCGGCTCCTCCCCACCCCCACCCTTCTGTCCTGAGGGGGCCCTCCTGCCACCCCACTGGTAGTCAGGCAGAACCAGAGCACCCTCCGTGTCATCAGCAGACGGTGCTCCTGTTTCCGGTGGAGCCCCGCACAGGGCTGGCTCCGGGGGGCCTCGGGGTCCCACAGCACCTCTTTGTCCTCGCAGGACAGGGTCTTGGCGGGCCAGCACAGACTGAAGGTGCATTCTGTTCCTGTCCTGGACCTTGCTTCTGTCCGCTTGGAAGCTGTACAGTACTACCTTGGGCCTCACCACCGGCCCCGGACGTATAAAGCCGTCTTGTGCAGGGGCTCAAAAAAAGCCCTTTCCTCGCCAAAACCACAGCGATGAAGGGAGCAGTGAGCGACAGCTCGTCTAAAGACCCGGGGTGAAAGGCATGTCTGTTCCTTGACAAGATGTCTGTATGTGATACCCCCAAAGAGCGATCTGCGTGAACACTCACTTCTGTCCAGAAACGACAGCATCCCTCACAAGCCTTTGCTTCCCAGTGGACAGAAGTAACTTCGCAGGACTCCTGCCTGACGGCGCTGCCACGAGCGGGTGCACACGGAGCTTCAGCCGCACTTGCGAAACACAGACCGAGGTGGAAATCATGACACACCCAGCGCAAAACCAGCCACCCAGTGCGTCCGCTCTGTTTACACTGCTGAGGGGAACCCGCTCCTAAAGCCTTGAACTTACCCCGAAAACGGGGCAAAGCCAAGAGAAAACTACTTTACAGAGTCATCTTAGGGAGAAGAAAACGTCTTTACCAAAAACAACAACAACAAACCAAAAAACCCAGGAAACCAAAATCAAAACCCGAAACGCAAGACACAAAGAGTGCATGTGCGCCCTGTGCATGATTCAACGACCCGGTTAAAAGTATAAACGGAAATAAGCTAGCCGGGGGGAGGCAGGGAGGCGCAAAAGGTCGTCCAGGTAATTAAGTGCACCTCCAACACAACAGATTTATTATTTTTGCAATAAACGCAGTTCGTTCTCACGCCAAAGAGCTGACGTTTAAAAGAGCTGCACGCGCCCAGCGCATCATTACCGCTTGGTAAACAAAATTAACGTCAACGGGGCCCTTCACGAGCTGAAGTTCAAACGGCCTGCCTAGGCTCGCGCTCGCTCCCGACCTCCGCCGCGCGCACGCTCGTCCCCGTGCTCGGCGGACACGCACTGCGCATGCCCCCCAGCCATCCACGGCCGGGCCTCCGGCTCGCTCCCGGCGGGCACGCACTGCGCATGCCCGCCCCGCTCCCCCACACCGCCGGGCCTCCGGCTCGCTCTCGGCGGGCACGCACTGCGCATGCTCAAGTTGCCAGGCAACCCCCCTCCCCCCCCCGTGAGCACGCACGCGGGGCGCATGCTCCCACCTCCCCGGCCCTCAGGTGGCCTCGCGGGCGTGGGCTGCAGCCCTAAAAAGCCAAAAATCAGGAAGACCTCGTGTGGGCGGCCGCCAGCCCCGTCCCGGTCCTCACCCACCCCTAAACGCCCCGCCCACTTGCATCAAAGCCCACCCCCCGGCCAAAGACCCCGCAGGCCGCTGCGTCCGAAGCCAGGGAGGCGTGCGTGCCGGCGTGCGGCGCCCGTGGCCGCCGTGATGACGCCACGCGTCGCGGTGACGCATGACGTAGGCGACCTTGTTTGGGAAGGCGGCCGGCGCGCCCGTTTTGAAGCTGCCGGGAGCGGCGCGGGCCTAGCGGCGCTGCTGCAAATCATTCGCCGGGCCCGGGCGTCCGCGCAGCCCCCGAGACGCCGGCGCCGCCCCCAGCCGGGCCTCCGGCGGGCGGGACCCTGCCCGCCCCCGCGCCCCCTCGCCCCCTCGCCCCCTCGTCGGGCGGGGCCGGGCCGCCGCCTGCTCCCGGGACCTCGGGCTCCGGGCCCGCGAACCCCGCCTCCCCGGAACCCGGGCTCCGGACCGCCACCCCAGCCTTCCCGGGACCCCGGGACCCGGGCTCCAGGCCCGCCACCCCGCCTCCTAGGGACCCTTGGCCCGGGCTCCAGGCCCGCCACCCCGCCTCCTAGGGACCCTTGGCCCGGGCTCCAGGCCCGCCACCCCAGCCTTCCCCGGGACTCCGGGCTCCGGGCCGCGACCCCGCCTCCCCAGGACCCGGGCTCCAGGCCCGCCACCCCAGCCTTCCCGGGACCCAGGCTCTAGACCCCCCACCCAGCCTTCCCCAGGACCCGGGCTCCAGGCCCGCGACCCCGCCTCCTAGGGACCCTGGGCCCGTGACCCCCGACCCCTGGGCCCGGGGCCCGCGACCCCGCCTCCTAGGGACCCTGGGCCCGTGACCCCCGACCCCTGGGCCCGGGGCCCGCGACCGCCGCCTGCAGCCACCATCTGCTCCGCCGACGTGCGTTCAGGCCTGGCTTGGGTTCCTGGCGCCAGGCAGGCGTGCAGGAGGAAGGGGCTCTTCGGGAAGGAGGGTCCCCGTCTCGGAGATGCCGCCCGGCAAAGTCCTGCAGCCCGTCCTCAAGATGAAGGTGGACGAGCTGTTCCTGTGCTGGCTCAGCGAGTCCAGCACGCAGACGATGCTCCAGGACTGTCTGCAGAGGATCAAGATGCCCGGGAGGACGGAGACGGGCGGTGGGGCCGCGGGGCCGCCCGGGCCCCCGCTGGCAGCCGCAGCCCCCGCCTGCAAGCCCGCTGTGTTCGATAGCCTGGGGGCGCCCAGCCCGGCCCCCGCGGCCGCCGCGCTCCCGCTGGGAGCCGCCACTAGTCCCAGGACCGGGCCACCCGTGCGAGGGACTCGCAGATCCGCAGGGGCGCGAGCAGTAAGTTATGCTTCACTTCTGCCGAGTCGGGTGCATGGCGCCCTGGGGCTCAGGGGTGCGGGAAAACACTCACATTGGCGCGGTTTTTCCCACAAGCGAAGCCCTGTGTGCTGAAACGTTCCGTCGTCGCCGGAGCCCCGTGCTGGTCCTCGGGTGGGAATTTTGATGTTCCTTTCCAGTCTTTCCAAGTTTCGGTCTTGGGTGCCCACTGCTCCGCGGTTTTTTCTTGGCTTAAATGATGACCTAGAGGTTTGATCCCTCCTTTGCCGGTTTTCTCCTTAAATCGTCTACGGTAGGTGCAGTCAGACAGCCCTGTACAAAAACAGGGGTTGGTTTCTGGCACGTAATCCTGTGTGCGCTCGAAGTCACAAAGTGCTGGCTCCGGGGGTTGAGGCCAGCGTGGCGGCTGGGGACGCCACGGACCTGCAATACTCCCGAAGCCGGAGCTGTTCGCGCTGCGTCCGAACGCGTGTGTGACGTTGAAGACGTTCCCGTTGGAGCTAGCGTCCCACCAGCAGCACGAACCATATGGTAGTATCCCTCGTTGGACGGCTTCCCAACCCCAGCGGACCAGCCGCCAAGGGCGGATGGCGAGTGCTCCTCCCTGCAGGAAGACTCGCTGGGCTCTCAATTACTGGTGGTTTCCTGGCCTGTTCCAGCGGACCCGACGACCTTTCCCAGAAAGTCAGTCTGCACAGAGAGTGGGAACTGGGCCCAAAGGCCACGCAGACGCCACCTGGCTTAGACCCTCTAAGGAACTCCACGGGAAGGCTCGTCTGCACCTGCAGGGCCCCCGGACCATCCCTTGAGCTCTGCTCAGTCACTTTCCCACTGCACCACAGAACCTTAGTGCTGGGGGGAGTTTTGCCCGAATCGCTCGTTTAACAGAGGCCTCGAGATCTGTGAGAAGGGCCAGCACTCGGGAGGGTTCCTCCTGGAGGGACAGTGGTTTCCCTCCCCATGATGGCATCTGTACTCCCCTGGGATGGCCGAGGTCTCATTCAGCGAGCTGCCTGCCTTGTCGGTAAATAGCTTTCAGCGCTGAGGCCCAGCACCCCTCACAGGTGAATTCTTGTATTTTGTGACCCCGTGACCTCGTGGGAACCCTCTTGGGACTGCAGATGTTGGCAGGTCAGCCCTGCTGGAGGAAGGCCACTTGGAGGCCTTGAAAAGGACGTATTTCTGTAAAGTAGGCCCAGAGGTGCACACCCCGTTCCTCAGGTGTTCCGAGCACGGAGAGGTCGTTTCTCTCAACTGGGAGAGAGGTTGGGCGGAAAGGGGGCCAGCGACTTGGGGGGTGCACTGAATTGAGCGAGGAGAAGGCAGGGGGCGCAGGGAGGGGAGGTTCAGAGTGGAGATCCGATGTCCAGTCTTGCCCAGAGGCCGTGGCGGTCTGACTGCGGAAGGCCGGCTGCTGAGCCGGGTCTGTGCGTGGCCACCTGTGGGATTGGGCAGGATGCAGCACTCTGGGCTGAGGATGCTAGACCTGCTTCCACGGCTGGCTGCTAGTGCTTCTGAAAGGTGCGCACATGGTGGGGCTGGTGTGTGATCACGATTCTCCGGGTCAGTCGGTTGAGCCTCCGACTCTTGGTTTCGGCTCCGGTCCTGATCTCAGGGTCGTGAGATCCAGCCCCAGTGGGCTCCGCGCTCACTGTGGACCCTGCTTGAGATTGTCTGCCTCTCCGTCCGCCCCTTCTCTCACTCCCCAAACAAAGGTTCACACAGTGCTGATGCGTGCAGCCGTGTGTCTGGAGCCCTGAGGCCGGAGCTGGGTGGGCGGTGCAGGCGTGGGAGCTCGGGACGCAGGGGGAGGCATGGAAGGCTTGGTGGGAATTGCGTCCTGAGGAAATCAGAGAGATTCCTCCTCTGCTTTGCAGTTTCCATGACCAGCACGGGCCGCGCTTTTGAGGAACAGCAGAATGCTTTGTCTTTTCCCCCGAGGTCACAAAGTAATGATGGCTCTCGTCTGGGACGCGGAGTTGGCTTTAAACACGTCTTCCCGTGTGTGGAATTTACAGACCGTTTCAGTTGAATTTAGGGAAGTGAACTGCCGAGGGGACCCATGTTCTCATGGGGTGCAGATGTGAGGGGCGCATTCCTGTGCCCCCCGTCCACGCATTGTGTCAGGCGGGGTTCACCAAGACCCGATTCCCAGGCGCCGACTGGCAGGGGACGGACGGGTGACGCTCCCGGGTCTGGGCAGGAGGTTTCACAGATGACACATCTTTTCTCCAGAGTGCACTGACCCGCAAGGGCTGACCGCCAGCCACCAGCAGCTCCTTTTCACCCCTGCTCCGTGTAATTCCCCAGCTAAGAGGAAGAGGAGTCCAGGGAGTCCACACACCCTGAGTGTCCGACTGCCCTGTTACTTTCCCCGCCCCAGGGATGTTCACCACACACGCTTGGCTCGATGCCTTCGGCAAACACGTTACATGCAACAGGCACTTGGAGTGTCTCCCACCCGTCTCCACAGAGGGAAGGCTGAGTGCTGAACCACAGGGGCTCCATGGGTCCCTCACCACGATCCCAACCAGGCAAAGCCCCGAATGTGCTTCTAAGGGAGCTCCTCCTAGGGAATCAGAGCTCAACCTGCATGCACTGTCTCTGCATGTACTTCCTACCCCAGTGACGATGCCCAGCAGAGGAACACTCTCCGGCAGCCCGTGCACCTGACTTTCAAATGTACAGGACTTGCTCCGGGGCCTCCTTCCTACTCCTTCTCCACGGTGGTCAGTATCCCAGTGACCTTGCCCAGCAGCAAGTTCAGACTCAGTGGGGCTCCTTCCTACTTCTTCACAGTGGTCAGTATCCCAGTGACCTTGCCCAGCGGCTACTCCTTCCCCCGCAGTGGTCAGTGTCCCACTACTTTCTGCCACATTAATTCATCCTTCACACAAGTCTGACAGGAAAGGGATTTGATCTGTGCTTAGGGTAGAACATAATAATTCTAGTGACGCTTTAGTCTAGCACCACGTTTCAGAGCATTTTCAGCTCGTAGGGCTGAGAGGAGCTCCTTGCTGACCCTTGTGGACTTCAAGCAGAGCTGTCTGCTAACGCATTAGGGGATGTGACTTTTTCACCTACTACAAGCATCAGTAAATACAATTTTGGCTGTAAAATCTGACGTCCTTAAATTTAAGGGCTCTTCTGGACAAATAGTTTTTTTATCACCTGCTCTTGGGCCATCGTGACACTCTGTTCAAATCCTTTCTTTATACATAACCTGGATCCAAGTCCTTTGTAAGATAGATGTTTTGCAGGAGGTGGGGGTGTGCAGGGCCTCCATCGTGAGGACATAGGGGTGCGCAGGGGCTCCATCGTGAGGACATAGGGGGTGTACAGGGGCTCCATCATGAGGACGTAGGGGTGCGCAGGGGCTCCATCGTGAGGACGTAGTAGGGGGTACGCAGGGGCTCCATCGTGAGGACGTAGGGGGTGGACAGGGGCTCCGTAAGGAGGTAGGGGTGTGCACGGGGTCCATCAGGAGGTAGGAGGGTGTGTGTCTGACCGTCTGACCATGTAGCTGGGCTTTCTCCGACACCAGAGAAGGTGCACTGGATGTACGTCCCGGAGAGGTGAGCCTCCTGCAGCGCACAGGTGCTGCAGCTGATGTTGCCCACAAGAGGGTCGCCCACCTCCCCACAGCTGCAGAGACGCGCGGAACAGCTCCGCGGCAGGTGGGCCGCTGCAACATTGTCATGCTGGCCGTTGGAAACGTCAGGGGGCTGTTATCTCGACTAGGTGGTGCTTTCCCTTTTTCGGCACTGTCATAACTCTGCTCCGCTCTCGAGACACGACTGTGCCCCCAAAGCAGCGTTGTAGTGCGACGTGGATCCTGCACATACTGAACTGCTGCGTTAGATAGAAATTACGTGCCCGGCTGGGACGTGTTTGCTCGCGGCCCCCATCGCACGGAGGCGCCCCACCGCGCCTCCCGCTGCATGCTGGGCTGCTTTCCACTTTAGAGTGGTCGTGAGGACCACTCTAAAGCCGAGGACATTTGCTTCTAAGTCCTGGTGTCGACGTATGTTTTCCTTTCTTCTAGGTAGATACCTGAAGTGGAATGACTGGGGTTTGTGGTAAATGGACATTTGACATTTTAGGAAGCTGTTGGACTGTTTCCCAAAGTGGCTGCACCGTTTTACTTTCCCGCCAGGGGCGTGGGAGGGTTCAGGCTCCTGCACTTTCCGCGCAGCCCCGTGCTGTCAGGCTCTCTTACCCGTTCTGGAATGTGGGCTTGTGGTAGGTCACTGTGGGTTAGGGTAGCTTCCTGATAACCAAGGGTGTGGAGCAGCTCTTCATAGGCTTGTGTGTATGTGTGTTGGGGGGCGGGGCTGTATATATCTTCCGTGAAGCGTTGATTCAGACGTTTTACCTGTGTTCCCTTCATGCGGTTCCTCGTTTTATTACTGACTTGCTACCGTTCTCCTGCCTTCTGGATACAGCTCTGGGACTCCTCAGCTCCTGCGTTTGGGAAATCTCCTGCTGCCCTGGGACTTCTTTTCCCTTCTTGCTGGTGACTTTCGAAGCAGAGAAGTTTTACATTTTGATGAAGTTCAACATACCACTTATTTTCGTTGTGTCCCTAGAAGGACATCCCGTAATCTAAATCTTGGCCAGACTCAAGGTCAAAAGATTTTCTCCTGTTTCTTCTAGAAGTTTTAAAAACTTTGCTTCTTTCCTTAGATTTGTGATCCATTTCAAGTTAAGTTTTATGTGTGGTCGCACGGAAGTTTCTGGGTTCGGGTTTTCTTCTGCCCACCCCGTTGCTGCTGCATCAGTTTTTGAAAAGACCACTGTTGTTGCCTGGAAATGTGTTAGCACCTTTGCCGACCAGCAGTGGGCACAGGTGTCTGCACGTATTTGGGAGCCTGTTAGATGCATGGATGCAGACATCCGTGCGTGTGCCCGCACTCACGGTCTGGGTGAGGTGTTGATCGGTTTTTGGATGTTAAGCCAACCTCGCTCCCTTGGAGGAAGCCCACGTGATCATAGTCAAT